ATAAATTAAAAAAATATAAAGAGCATACGCCGGATTTTGTTGACTAAAAGTATTCACTAAAAACATGGCGCGTAGAACCAATCAAAATTAGTAGTGCAACAAACCAAAGGTCCTCCAGTGTTTTAATTGGAATCCGCTTTACAGAAACAGCTTTACTGGGTGACCTCAGTCAATTAGAAGGTTTATTTAAGATTAGAAGCGCACAGTAATGTTACTTATGGTTTGCGCATTGCTTTTAGTTTAAAAAAAAGTATGTGTACAGGCGACTTCACTCGCCCCGGGTCGTCCTTAGGTGCGGTGTAAAGCATTTTAATAAACCAGTTTTCCACTCTCTTGTATGACATCTTATTAATGGGTGCTACAGTTTAACTTTAAGACTATGAGCAAAGAGAGCTAGAATTAAAAGTAATAAAAAAGTTTTAGTGTTGTTTTCTTGTTAGTGCGGCTTCAGGTCATATAGTTATTATTATCCCTTAGTTTATAATCCTTACTATCGTTTATAGCAATGCAAAGATAATAAAATTCTGTATTTTAAAGTTTAAGTTTAACATTACTAATAACTACCTAGTAATTAATATGATTTTTTTTGTTAATTTGGTTTTTTTAAGTTTACTTTCTATCTAATATAATTTCTTAAACTACTTTATTACCAATAAAAAATAAATTACTATAATAATATTATATATTAGCGTAATAACTTCACTGCTTGAATGGTGTTATTTTTTTTTGTGTAATGCATTTTTGTTTATAGTAAAGTGGAATAACCAAATTACTTGAAATAAACAAGTTTATTTTTAATTAGATTAATTTCTATTATATTACTTAATAATCGATTGATTTTTTTAATAATATTTTATTTAAAATAGATTGAAGATAGTTAAATTGCATACAAAAATATTTAAATATAATTTTTGGTAATTATTTTTCCTATACAACTTTATAGCCACCTGAAATTTATTTTAGCGATAAATTTAGGTGTTAAAAATTCTTGATCTCGTATTTATTTGGGCGAAGTTTATATAATTTCTCCTTATTACTTTTCTATTTACTATTTTGTAGTTATACTAAAATGTTCGCCTCAACAACGAGTCCGTTGATTTTTGTAAACATAAAACCATCCGCTAATTTCAAATATTAATTTTCAAATGATTTGAAAAAAGTATAAAGTAGTTTAATATTATTAAAAAAATTAATTTTGTTCAAAAAAAATGGTCGGTAAGCGAAGTGACGCGTTAATTGTTGTTTATAATTAGAAAGATGCAATTTTTAAAACAAAGTTACTGCAAGGTACTTCTATGTTATTATTATTATAATTATAATGATTATTTTTATTAACAGGAGATATGCTGGTGATTAATATAGCGAAATCCTATATAATTTATATACTCTAGAATTATAAAAATTAATCGATGTTCAATAATTTTAACTTATAATTTTATATTCAACAAAAATATTATAAAAAACTTCATATTAATAGAAAAACAGTTTTGTACAAAAATATTATAAAATTATTTTAATTACTAAAAAAATCTGTATAATATTAATTAAATTTAGATTTAGGTGGTTGCTTTTTAATGCCATTTAAATTTTAAATTAGTCTAATTGATAATAAATCTTCCAAAATAGATTTTTATAAGAACCGTTAGAGTTTTAAAAAATTTTATTATTATTAAAAATTTAATTAATAAATTTTATAGTAATAAGAATAAGTACATTAGATATAAGCAATTAAAATTAATCAATTACTAGAATTTGTTATATTAGTATAATTTCGAACTTAATGTTTAAAAATTATTCCTATCAAGTTAAATAAAAGTTTCATTTAGACTAAATTTCTAAATTAATTATTTAATATTTTATTATTACTAGTATTATCTAAAATTAACTTTAAACTTAATTTTTCTAAATTTTTATTATTATTTATGTAAATTCAAAAAAAGATATAGTTGGTTGCTATAATTCCCGTTAAAATTTTTATTAGTATTCTTGTAACAACAGAAACTTTTTATAAATATAATTGTTATTGTTTTATTTAAAATTTTTTTTTTAAATTGATTTATTATTAAATTTTTTACTTATTATTAAAAAATTAATTTATAAAATTTACAATAGTATAAAGAATTAATTTTTACAAAAGCAATAAAATTTTAATTTTAATTCCTGAAAAAAGTTGATAAATTTAACAAAATTCAGATTTAGTTGGTTGTAATATATTTTCGTTAAAATTTTTAATTAAAATTCTCGAACGGCAAAAACTTTATACTAAATTTTAAAAATTTGTATTTATTTAAATTTTTTAATTGCTATCGAAATTAATTTGAGAATGCAAGAATTAAATTCTTTTATTATTTATTTATAATTCTTTATAAACTTTGCTTAATTAAAAAATTAATAAAAAAGTTATACCATTTTTAAATTATATAATACTGAAAACTAATACAATACATAATATATAACAGCATCCTAAAGATTTTTAAAAACTTTCAATATATACTTGTTATAAATATTTATAAATTTGAGTTAAATAAGATTTCGTTACTTTGAATTTGTTAAAAATAAATATAAATTTATAGAAAAATTACTATTTAAAAAAAGCTACTTCCAAAAAACCGTACAGTTACCAAAATCGAGATTTATATAAAATACTAATTAAATTAATTATAAATAAAAATTAAAAAGATTTAAAACTAAAATTATCAATAAGTAAAATTAGAGAAGACTATTATTATTTTCATGGCTATAACAAACATTAATTTATTTAAAGTAAATTCAATACTATTAAATAAAGTTCATTTAAAAAATTATATAATAATAAATAAATAAATTTACATAAATAATATATATTATATTAATAGAAATAATAAATAAACTAATTAAATAAGAATAATATTATGAAAAATAGTGAATAATAATTTAAGTAATCACAAAATATTTATATTAGAATAATTATTAAAAAAAATTTAAAAAGACAGATATAATTATATATATTAATTAATTAATAATTTAAATTAAATTAGTTATTAATAAGAAAATATTAGATAATCGACGAATATTTATATATCAACAATTATTATATAATTTTATTAATTAGTAAATTTAAGCGAACGAATAATATGGATATATCGGAACAATCATATAATTTAATTGAAATTATTAATTCATTAATAATAATTTAAAGACTATTATTATTACGATTATAATATACTTTAAAAATATATTAATTCGGAAGTCAAAACTTAAGGACTATTATTATTTTTACGATAACTATTTAATTAATTTTAAGTAATTAATTCATAAGTAAAAATTTCTAAATATTACTATTATTATTACTATTATTACTTATATAATTAAAATTATTAAGTAAAAGCAGAAGTTTAATTTGTATTATTATTGCGATTATTATTTTAATTTAAATTAAAACTATTAATAAATAAAATTGGAAGTCTATTATAATTATTATTATGAGTATTTAATTTAAATTAAAACCAAAATTATATAGGAAAAAATTTTAAAAAAATATATTTATATTACTACATTTGTTAATTAATAAGAAGAAAAAATTTATTATTACTATCGAATATTTTTTTAATTATTCATAAATATTAATTTAAAATTTTTTAAATAGAACTTAAGTTATTTAAAGTATAAAAAGTTTTAGCTTATAAATATTTTTGCATACAAGGTGCGTAATAAAAATTATTTATTATCTTTTAACTTGTAGATGTAAGAAATTTTTAAAAATTTAAAGTTAATAAAACATAAATGTAAACAAAAAGTATAAGAAAAGAATAACATAAATATAATTTATAAATTTTCAAAAAAAAATTTCCTAACGAAATTAATTTAATGAATTACATTTTAAAAAAATTAGTTTGTCACAAAAAAAAAATTAAAGTATAAATTTACCTTATAATTTAAAAAAAAAATTGAGTCTACAAAATTTAAATATTGATAAGAAAATTAAAAAAATATAAATTTTAATATAAGAAAAGTAATTTATAATTTTTTTAAAAAAATTTAATCAAATTTGTAAATTTAAAAATTAAAAAATTGAAGTTTTAAAATTTTTTAAAGAGATTCACTACAAAATTAAAATTATAAAATATTTTAAAAATTATTTTTTTTTAGATATATATTATTATACAAATTAGAAATTTCAGAAAAATTATTAATATTATAGTTTTATTATAAATTTTATGGGGCAAGTAAATTTTTTATCAAAAAATTAAAATTTATAAAAAGAAATAAATAATAGATTTAAACTTTTGAATAAGATTCACTAACAAATTTAAAGTTATAAATTGAAATATGAAATTTAATTTTTTTGAGGTTAAATTATATAAATTAAAAAATTTCAATAAAATTACTAAAATTAAAGTTTTATAATAAATTCAGTAAAATATTTAATTTTCACAAAAAAAAGAAAAAAAGTTTATACATTAATAAGGTTTCAGTAACAAACTTAAAATCCTAAATTTAAAAATATAAAATTTTGTATAAAGAAATAAATAAAATTTTTTTAGAAACATTTTACTAACAAAATTAAAATAATGAATTATATTTTCAAAAATTTAACTTTTACTAAAAAAGCTGATTAAAATATTTTATACAATTGAAAAAAATTTTAAAAAAAAATTACGTTAAGTTTTATAATAAATTTAACAAACCATTTAAATTTTAACGAAATTTTAACGAAATATATGATTTAATAAAAAAATAAATTTTTAATTTTTAAAAACGATTTTTACTAAACAAATTAAAGTTATAAACTACATTTTAAAAAATTTCGTTTCAACAAGAAAAAAATTGTGATTAAAATTAATTATACAACAGAAGAAAAGTTTCAATTAAAAAAAAATTCAAAAAAATTAAGTTTTATATAAATTTAATAAAACAATTAAATATTAACAAAAAAAAAGAAATTGAGGAATAAATTTATTATAATAATTTAATTTATACACTAATAACTTTAAAATATCCCGCCGGCAACAATGATTTAAAGATCCCGCCAAAAAATATGAAAAAAGGTTCAAGCTTTTATAAATTTTCGAGAGCGACTGCGAAACCTCCCATTTGCTCGGAAAGTACATCTATAGCATCTCCATCTTCAAGAGAAAGCTTATAAAAAATAGAAAGTAAAAAATATATTTATTGATTAAAGGAAAATACTTTATGTAACTTTATAAAAAATTATTAAAAAAAGTTTAATAATAATTAAAAAAAACAATAATTTAATTTAATTATATATGATTAGAGAAAGCTTTTAAAAAATAAAGAAAGTAAAAAATATATAATAATCTAGAAAAATATTTTGTATAAATATATATAAAATAATTAAAGTATAATAATTATTAAGTAATATATTTTTTTGATTTATAAAAAAAAATTAGAGAAAGCTTATAAAAAAGGAAAATAAAATATACAATCATCTGGAGGAAATATTTTCTATACAATTAAAAAATATAATCGAAAAGTATAATTATAACTTTCAAAAAAAAACATTGCTAAAACTTAATTAACAAATAATAAAAGAAAACTTATTAAAAAAATAGAAAGTAAAAAATTATAATTTAAAAAAAATATTTCAATTAATTTATAAAAAAAATTAATATTTAATTTTATACTTAATAAAAAAATAGTTAGAAAAAGCAAATAAATAATAATCTAAAGAAAATATCTATAAAATTATAAAAAATAATTAAAAAGTATAATAATAATTTTAAAAATATAGTTATTAATTAATATATGAAAAAATAATTAGAGAAAGTTTATAAAAATATATATATTAATTAAGAAAATATTTTCAATAAATTCAAAAAATAAATATATTTTTTTAATTAATTTATAAAAAATAGTTAAAAATTGAATTATAATAAAATTCATGATTATTTATTAAAATTAAAGCCATAATTAAAAATAATTATGAACTCAATAAAATTTAATTTTTAACTTTTGATATAAAAAGATTAAGAAAAAGTGTTAAAATTATTTAAATTATTCAATAATGTATGAAAATTTACACAAAATTATAATTACTAAATAAACTAAAAATTTTATTAAAAAGATTAAAAATTATAAAAGTTAAACAAATTTTAAAAATTTAAATATTTGTATATAATATTTTACTCAAAATTATAAAAACTAACTAATTTAATAAAAGAAATTTTTATTAAATTTTTAAAAATGAGAATTAAAAAAGTGAAAAAGGTAACATTTACAATTCCTAAGTTAATCAAAAAAAAGATTTTTGAAGAATAATTAGTATAAAAGTTAAACCAAAAATAAAAAATTTGAATAATTGTGTATAAAATTTTACTCATAATTATAAAAAATAATTAATGGGCATAAAAAATTAACGGAAAATAATTTTCATAATAACTTGGATATGTTTAAAAATTTACAAATTATATAAACTAATTTACTTAATAAAAGAAATTTTTATATATTTTATTAAATATGATAATTAGAAAAAAGTTAATAAAATTAAAATCTATAAGTTTGATGTTTTCAATTATGTAAATAAAAATATATATAAAAGTTAAAACAGTCAAAAAACAATTATTATTCATTAAACAGAAAAGCAAAAAAAAAAGAAAATCAATTTCTTTTACAAAAATTTTTTAATATTTTTAAGAATTAAAACTGTGATTACAATCTCAAATAAAAAATTTTGAAAAGTAAACTTAAAGTTAATAAAAAGTAAAACATAAACTTGAAAAGTTTTCAATTAATTTATATAAATTAAGAGTCCGTAAAACTTAAAAAATTATAAATTTATTTTTTTTATAAACTTTTACACCATCTAAGAAAAAAATTTCTAATTTATTTTTTTTATATTTAAAAGTATTAACTACTTTTAATAAAAATCCAAAAATAATCAACAATTTTGTTAGAAAGTACAAATTTTGTGGTATTGCAACAAAAGTAAAAACAAAATAAAAAAAACGAAAAAAAGATAAAAAAATTAGAAAAAGGATTTAAATAAACAAATTCTTTGTAACTAATTAAATATAATCATTCTTAACTATTTATTTCCTTTTGTCAAGTATTATTAATATAAACTCCTTTAAAAAATACGAACAATTTATATATTAAATAAAATCGAAAAATTATCGTTACTATAAATTAATGTAATAAAAATTAAATAATTGTAAAAAATTTATAGTTTTAAATATTTACTAAATAAATTCTTTTTCGTATACAGAATAGATAAAAATAAAAAAAAGTTAAGAAAACCAATATATTGGTATAATAAATATAAATCCCTTACAAAAAACAATTTTTATTAAAAATGGAGTGAAAAGAAAAATATTATAATAAACTATATTGTATAAAATAATAATCTAAAAAAATTTTAATTAAAAAAAAGGAAAATTTAGTAAAATAATTAAATATTTTAAAAAAAATTAGAAAATTTCTTTATTAATAGTTTTTAATCATAATAAAAGAAAGGAAGGCACTTCTTTGGGGGTTTGGCCTGGAAGAATTCGCATTCCATCTACAACAAAACGAACGTCTGTCAGTGCGATTCCTTGTTTCTGACAATAAGCTTCCATTAACTTTTTAAAGGGAGTAGTGCGGCGAATTTTAAAATGTATTTCAGTATTGTCCTTAAAGAAATTTAAGTAAATATAAATATTTTATATAAAAAGTACTCAATTATTAATTAAGTTGAATGGTAAAAGTTAAAACCTGAGCGAGAACTTTGAGTTTAATATGTTCAGAATCGTTATCTTTTGTAGTATTATCAATTTCCTCCTTTAAAATATTTTATAATTGGTAATAAAAAGTAATAAAAAAAGTTTTAGTCGTTATATAATACTAAAACAATAAAAGTTAATACAAAAAAAACTAAATTCAAATATAGTAAACCTTCTGTTCCATTCTTTTTACACTTTACTAATTTTTTTCAAACTGTATTTACCAAAAGTAATAAAGTGAATAAATATAAAAAGAAAAAAAGAATGATAAAAAGATAAAAAAAACCATTATATAATAAAAAAAGTTACATAAAAAAAGGAAAACAAGCAAAAGAGTGCCAAGCAAGCGAAGCAAAACTTTCGAAAAAAAAATGTTCTTGCGGTTAAAAGTTAGTTAGTCTAAAATGAGGGCTATTTTCGCATGCTAATGCTTTTTAAAATTACTTTACTAAATAGTTTTTTTTAAAACTTATTAAAAAAATAAAAATATTGATATTATAAATTAAATTTTGAAATAACCCTAATGATTTAATTAGTTTGTAACATATTCCCGAAAAATACTCCCATCTATTTTTACAAAAACAACGTATCATTTAGTTTTTATTTTTAGAGGTATTATTTGTACAAAAAAATACTAATATAGTAAGTAGAACCTAACTTTGTAACAACTTAAGATACAAATTTATAAGCATTGTATATTAAAAACTTTCTTACACCTATAAAAAGATTTTCTTTACAGGTCTTATTAGAAAATGCTTTGGATGAAGTGAATAAAGTAGCTACTACACTTAATATCGTTAAATTACAAAGGACTTGTAAGGAAACAGTAGAAAAGTGTAGCAAGGTTAAAAATCTGATTATACACGCTAAGTTAAAAAAATAAAAAGTAAAAATAACTTCCACCTACCCATAAATTTTAACTAAAAGGTCTTGAAAATGAGAATCTTTACTTAACTTGAGTGAAATAAAAAGTAGCATTTACATGTAAAATACGATTTAAAAAGGCAAAGTAAAAAGTATAAAGGCTATAAATACACGCATGGGCGTAAAGATTATTAAAAAAACTCAGAAACGTCACGTTATATAAGAATAACTTACACCAATTAAAAAAAGTTTTTTTTTAAGTTTTGAAATTGAGAAGCTAGCTTTAAGTAAAGTTACATAAAAAATAACTATTACACTCAAAAGAGGTTATCTTATGAAAGAAGCTTGCAACGAAATAGACAAAATGTATTAAAACTAAGAAATACTTTTAATTATAAAAGGATTGAAAATAAAAATTAATGAGTTATGATATAAAAAACTAATTTACACTTACCAAATATAATATTTTTTACAAGTTTTAAAAATAAAAGTATATATTTAACTATTACACTTTCAATTTGTTAATTCACGTAAAGGCTAACAAAGTGATAAAGAATATTTTTAGATATACCATTAAAATTTGTTAGTCGTCGAGTGTAAATAGTTAACACGAGTACATATTTATATATAAAATAGAGCGAATACTAAATCTGATAACTGCCTTGTTTAAAAGCAGAATATAACTTCTAAGGAAAAAGCTTCTGCCCACCTCATTTAGTTCTAGGGAGTGGTCGGCATTGTGAGCTTTGCAATACTTTTGTTTCAAAGTGAAAAGTACCATAGTTTTTTTAAAAGTTGTGTCTAATAAAAATAATAATTATTTGTTTTTAATTAAAATATAAATCCCATGGAAATTTTTTAAGCAAACACTATTCGAAGCCAGTGCTTTCTGTTACGAAAACCTCTTCGATTTTTACTTTGGAGGTTACTAATTTGCTTGGTTTAAAATGTGTACAACTTTTTAATTTCGCAAAGTTTCTAAGTTTTTCCTGAATTGCAACTTTTATAAAGAAAGTGAGATTTTGGCGGGTGTTTTTTTTAACCTTATATAAGTCTCCTTAATTTAATAGATGTAAGCGAAGCAGCATTCGTTAATACTTTTTTGCACAGACTTTTTCTTGTTTTTAGAATTAATTGCACTTCAATACTCAAACGAAGATTTTCAAATACAATAGTTTAAAAAAAATAATGCAAACACGAAGAATGAAAAAAATTTCCTCCATGAACGCTCTAGATAAGCAGCCTTTAAAACAAAAAGATGTTAATGCCATTGAAGGTGTTTGGAGTTTATTACAATGTCAACTTTAATTTAATAAATTTATTTACAATAATTGATAACTTCAAAATTTTGGTAAAAAGGATCTGCACGTAAAATAAATTGTTTGCAGTAGATAATAAAGCACTATTTATATTTAAATTATATAAAAACTAATAATTTTTAATTTAGATGAACAGAAGAAGTTAAAAGAAAAAAAAGGTGGACTTAATTTTAAACTTTTAAAATTTATTTATTTAATTATTATTATTGTAGTTAATTTTAAAGGGAAGGAAAACTCTTTTGCGGGAGGTTAATCGGAATTTATTGTTATTTGTTTTTATATTCTAAGCACGAAACATTTTTTACAATAAAGTTGATCCCAATAAAAGCGGAATTACAAGTCTCTCTGAATGTATGTTTTTTAAAAATAATTATACACACAACTTATTTATTAAATAATTATAGTAATTGATACTCTATGAGAGCGAGTTTTATAAATTATTTCTCATAAAATAATTAAAATTACTAAAATTATAAGGCAGTAAAGAAAGCTTTAAGCTTGCCAAGAACGACTCTGTGAGTTTTAATAATCTACGAGATTTAAATTTTTCGCCCATAGTAAAAAGTGGCAGTGAAAGTAAGCCACATTGCTCCACGCCTGCTCCTAATAAGTTTAAAAATGTATCTTTATAATAATAAGTAATTATACATTTTATTATCAATCAAATTAAATTTTAATTTAATTTTTTTAATTATGAATAAATTTGATTACTCTTTTATTAGAATTCCGGCGAAGATTTTAAATTGAAAGATATCAAAAAAAAGTCTCCTTTTTTATGTTGTGAAAAAAATGAAAAACTACTTGAAAGTAAAATTACAAAAAATAAAGTACCTCTCTCTTTACCAGAAAAAGTAATTTTCATTTTTTAGGTTTACATCGTTACTTATAAATCTTTTAATCTTAGAAATTTTTTAATTATTTAAATTTTTTATTTATGTGTATTATTTTTATTATTGTAAAAAATAAAAAAGTGAAACTGTTTTGCGCAAATCTAAATGTGTACGAAAACAAAAGTTGCAGATTATAAACTGGCAAAATATATTCTTTTCTTTTCTTAATAACTTTTTTAATTTTTTTTTTATGTAAATATTAAAAAGTAGTTTGACTTAGCGCGAATCTAAATGATTACGAAAACAAAAATTTTGCAAATTTATAACTTTAGCAAAAATATTTGATTTCTTTATTAAATTTTTTTATTTATTTTAAAAATTCATATAATTTTTTTTTGTAAACATTAAAAAGTAAACCGTTTGTAAGCAATTCCAAATGTTTACGAAAACAAATAAATCTTGTAAAATTAAATATTATATTAACTTTTCTTTATTATTAATTTATATTATTTTAATTGTAAACATTAAAAAGTAAACCGTTTTTATGCAAATCTTAATGTTTACGAAAACATTATTGCAAACTTTTAAATTAGATTTAATTTCTTTAAATACCATTTTTTAATTATATTATTAATTTATATAAAATTTTTTATTGTAAACATTGAAAAGCAGCTGTTTTTGTGCTAAATTTCGAAAACAAATGCAAATTTTCAAGTTTGCCCAAAACATTTAATTATTAATAAAAGGGTGTTAACACTTTTTGTAAATTTACTATAATAATTTTATTATTGTCTTTTATTCTAAACATAAAAAGTCAAATGTTTTATGCAAAAATGGTTAGTTAAAATAAATTTCGCTAATTTTTAATTTCCATATAAAAATTTATTCTTCTTACAGAGAAACATTGAAGAAGTCTTATCTTTACAAAATTATTTTATCAATTTATATTATATTAATAATTTTAACTCTATGAAAAAAACTGTTTAAGCGCAAACCTAATGTTTGTTAAAACAAATAAAATTTTAATTTTTTAGTATTAAAACTTAAACTTTTTTGAAATAATATAATTTTGTCTAAACTTAAAAATTGATAAAAAAATTAATTTTTATTTTTATATAAGTATTAAAAGTTTGTAACTTTTTAAAAATTGTATTAGTGGTACATTTTATTAAAAATTTTGCAAGATTTTAAAAGTTGAGATAAAAATTTATTTCTTGTTTTTATATAAGTATTAAAACTTTATAACTTTTATATTAATAGTATATTATCATTAAATATAATTATGAAAAATTTTAATTTGAATAAAAAAAAATTAATGTTCATTTTTATGTAAATAATAGAATTTTTAAACTTTTTTAAATTGTTTTAATTATATTAAATTTTGAAATTAAAACTTTTAAGCTAATATGAATAACTAATGGTTTCATTGTATTGTTAAACTTTTCAAAATTGCAGTATAACTAATTTTATTTTTTTCTAAAAATAATTCATGCTCTAATCTTATAAAGTAGAAATTACTTATCAACATTCTTGCTCCATTTTACAAATCCTATAAAATTTGTTAAACATTTATTTATTTTTAACGTAAAAAGAAATTGCAGTTTTATAGTTTATTATTGATTTATTATCTTTTATGTAAGCTGTTTATTTTATTTTTTTTTTAAAAAAATTTAATTTTAATAAAAATTTACAGTAAAAATCAATTTCATCGCTTTCTTTTAAGTATTAAAAGTTTACAAATTTAATATTCTCTCAATGAAGGATTTATATAAATTTTTAATAAAGTTTACTTCAACGTAACTTTTTCCGCAAAATTTTTTTTAGTTGTACCAAACGTTATTTTTTTTTTTTCTTACTTTTAAAAATATTATAATCGGTTCCATTATTAATTATTTTTCTCTTCATTTAGTGATTTAATATGTTATAATAACTTTATCAAAAACTTTTTAATAAAGTTCACCATAACTCAAAGAATTATTTTTTCTACTAAAATTATATAATTATATTTATTTTGATATAATTATTTATACTACAATTTTTTTTTAATATTCAGATTGAATAATAATTTGGTACAAAAACTTTTCAATGCTTGAAAAATAATTTGAAAAGTAGTTATAGTCGATTATATAATAAATTTTCTTCCTTTAAAATTTAAATGTTTGAAAAAACTTTTTATACAAGTTAATCATAACTTATAAAGTTTTATTAAAATTTTTTTTTAATTTGTATTATTTTTTATTGTACATTTTTATTTTTTTGAGTATTCGGATTTAATAATCATATACCCAACCTTTTCGATGCTTAAAAATAATTATTATTTTTATAAATATTTGAAAAATTTTTACAGTCGATTATATTA